TACTGGAGGATGAAACTCTGGCTCGCGTTGATTTGGAGAATAACATACAAAGTTTACGCGAAGAATTGACATTCAAAGATCAAATCCACATACAGGAAATGAATGAAACACGCTCACGCCGTCAAGTAGAAATTAGTGAAATAGATGGCCGTTTGACCGAACAATACGAGGCCAAATTACAGCAATCTCTGCAAGAATTGCGCGACCAATATGAGGGTCAAATGCGTGCCAATCGCGACGAGATCGAACTACTGTATGAACAAAAGATTAAAAACTTGCAATCGGCAGCAAATCGCAATTCAAGTGCTGCTTCGAGTGCTATAGAAGAGTTACGTTCTACGCGCACTCGCATTGATGCGCTCAATTCACGCATTGGCGAATTGGAGTCGACAAACAATGCACTGACTGCACGCATACGAGAGCTGGAACAGTTGTTGGACCGTGAACGTGCACGCTATAATGCGGATATTGCCAATTTGGATGCAGAATTGCAGCGTTTACGGGACGAGATGGCACTACAATTACAGGAGTATCAAGATTTGATGGACATCAAGGTAAGAAGCGGACGATTTAGTTTAATAGTCCACATATTTTAACGTGATATTCTTGTAGGTCTCATTGGACTTGGAAATTGCCGCCTATGACAAGTTGTTGTGCGGTGAGGAATCGCGGTTGAACATCACACCACATACATCTACCGCTTCCGGTTCCTTCAGTCAAAGTTTACGTGGCACACGCGCCACGCCAATACGCAAAACACCATCACGTGGCGCTTCTACAGTGCCGCTTAAACGAAAACGCACAGTCATCGATGAATCAGAGGACCTCAGTCAATCTGAGTACTTTGTAACTGGCAGTGCAAAGGGCGATATTGAAATTTCTGATGTTGATCCGGAGGGAAAATTCGTAAAATTGCATAACAAAGGCAACAAGGAGCTACAAATCGGCGGTTGGCAATTAATTCGTACCGCTGGCAGCAATGAGACCTCATTCAAGTTCCATCGCACGGTCAAAATTGATGCCGGCGCTGTGGTAACTGTATGGTCTTCCGATGCTGGCGCGACACACGAGCCACCAACTAATATAGTAATGAAAACACAAAAATGGTTTGTTGGCGATAACATGAAGACATCACTGTTCAATGGTGACGGCGAAGAAGTAGCTGGCTCAGAACGTCTAAAACGCACAATCGTAACGCATTCTTCACGTCATCGCGCCTATGGCGGCCGTTTAGGCATCTCGTCGGTGGACGGTGTTGGCCATGAGGAACTTTACCACCAACAAGGTGATCCACAGCAGGGAGATGAAAAGTGTCGTCTCATGTAAATGTGTAGTTCAAAAGGAAAAAAAAAATTAACACTAACAGCCAATTTCACGAAAGCAATTTAAGTGAAAAATGATTTTCATTTTTTGAAATTTCTATGGAAATTGACAAAATAAAAAATCATTTTCAATTTAAATTGCTGGTGAAACCGGCTGTAAATGTAAAATTACTACAAAAGATTACTGTAATTTTCATATTTTTTAATTGTAATATCGTAAATTGGAAAGCAAAAAAATGTCTTAAGCAATGCTGCAAAATAGCGCATACCAAGAAACGTAAATTGATAAACACAATAACACTCATCCATTATCATATCACCCAACAAGTCAACCTAGTACATGCAATATTACATAGCATAACCAAATTCGCGCTTCATACATACATACTGCAAAACTGTACAAATCGCATCGTATGTTTTTCCAGCTGCTGCTATAATTTTTTCACTACTTGCCACACATTTGGAATTTATTTAATATATGTGCAGTTTCTGAAATACTTGCTATCCCGTTTTTTCTTACATAATGGGTCAGTTAACTATAAAATAGTTTTTAATTATAATAGCGCGAAAAATAACTCATATTTCATTTTATTAAAATGACATTTAAATAGCTGCTGTAGTATTCATCTAGTTATGCTCTACTCTTATAAATTAAAAGCAGAATCCTACCACTTAAGCGAAAGAGTAATAAAACACATGTTGAGTAATAAGAAAACAAAATTTGAAAGAAAACAAAAATGTATTAACGGTCGTCGCAGTTTGTAATGAATCATACAATTAATTATAAAAAAGTACAAGGAAAGCAATTGAGCTTTTCTGCCATAACTAACAGTATACATACATACATTTATTTTTTTTCTTGCATTGAAAATGTACAAATTTATGGTTCCAGTTTCTGGTAGTTTAAAGCTTTGAGGTACAAATAAAAAGTAGACAAGAAAAAAAGACTCGGAAACATTTGCAGCAAGCAGTGTATTTTTCTTGAAACAAAATACAATAGTTGAAATGGGCAGAAAGCTTAAACTACTTTTCTAACCCTAGATTGCGTACATTTGGAAATCAAGTTTAGGCTGAAGTAGAACGAAAGAATGTAGCGGTTTAAAAAATTTTATTAATTAATGATGCCTGCTATGTGTGGCTGGAAGCTCTGCGGCTCCCTATACACTTCGCTATGCATATTAGCCATCATTGATTTGCTTCAAAAGGAATATTTTTTGGCGCATTTCGGCGGTCTATTCTAATTGAACCTATGAAACATGAACATATGAAAGCAAACATTCAACGTTTGTACAACGAAATTAACAAAGTATCGTCCTAAAATCTTACTTTTAAACAAACTTTACTTACTTCTAGTTTTAAAATCCTAAAAAAATGTAGCAAATGGAGCTCAATATGTTTGAAGAAATTTTATTTTCAAAATTGTTGTACACACCTAATTGTCGCTATTTTACTCTTGAGTGTTTTATTTAATTTTATTTCTATTTCCGACCAAATACGAATTTCCCAAAAAGTACAAAAAAGTGATCCTCCTAAAAATAAAAAGTGAAGAAAACGGTTTGCGCTTTCTTTTCGAAAGTTTTACGCGCTTTTGACAATTTTCAAACAATTTAAATAAATTACGTATATCTAATTATTACGTGTATGTTTTAAAATTAATTTAATTATAGTATATTCAAAAATTAAATCAAATTATTTGTCTTTATGACCATTCACTACACTTTTCGGAAATGCATACAATTTGTATTTGCAATGACAGATTTATTATACACATATAATTTTTTTAAAGAAATAATTTGCTGTTCTCCCTGTGTTCGTGAAAAGTTTTCAATAAAAATTAAAAAAAAATCTTAAAATTGTGTTTTTTTTCAAGTTAAAAGTGGTTCTGTGTATCGGGGTTTTTGTTAGTTTGATATAAGGCGTTAGACTCAGATAGAGTCCATTCCCTGAAGATTTTTTATTTTAAATGGCTGAGTTGAGCTGTCAAAAAAGTGTCTAAACAGCTCTTTCGAAGTTCGAATTTCCCCCTCCTAAATTAGGAGAAAATGCCACTCCCTGGGAGTTAATTATTGGAAAAACAAATTCCCGACGAAAAAATTGGGCTGATAGGATTCGTCGCTTCTAGTTCGGACGGATCGGTAGATAATCAGCTATCTATGGGAACGTTCATCGTGCGTTGAATTAGGTAATGCCAAGTCCTAGCTATGTAGACGATTGCACGATTATAGCCACGTTACCAAACAGCGACATCCTTGCGGTAAAATCACTGGATGTCTCACCGATCTTTGAAACATCTGCATTGCCAAGAACTTCGATGTCTCTGCCACAAAAACCATCACCAAACTCTCCACAACATGGATCAAGGAAATTAGGATGGAACTTGACGTGCGCAGCTATGTCGTCAAAATACCGACGGGCAAACAGTCTAAGGTTCTGGGATTCACGTGCGGTAACCCTTTCTTCTCAGCGCATAAATTCCACATTTGTAAAAAACTATGTGCCAGGAGCAAAGTTTTCTAACAGACAGCCGGCAGTATTTGGGAAGCCGATAAAGAGCGTTTCGTAGTGGAGAAATTTGCCAACTCGCCAGAACGCAACTCAGCGGAAGGCTACAGGCTGTCATCTTATATTGCCCGATCATCACCTCCTTAATAAAGAAACCCGAATGCTGGCGGATAAAGAACACAACACGCTATTATAGAATCAGTTCCTCATGGTACGTATGTCACCGTGGGATCTACCCCAAAAATGCTCTATTTCGAAACAATCAGCCCCCACCAACTCGCTGAATTGCAACTGGTCGACTGGACAACAGACATTGAGGCGTTCAACGAATCACGATATAAAGCGGCACTCAGCAAACTAAATAGCGATGCTGTCAGAATGGGTCTTAGCACCTATAAGAACAACGTTTTTCTAGGTGGTCGATCGCCGCCCATCCATATTTAGGAAGCTGAATTGCCGAAAGAGATAAGCTGCATCTTAGCGCAACGCTATGCAGCCAAAAAAATATATAGGCAAAACATGGAGATTGCCCCAAAGATTGCCCAAGGTAACTTTGGACCACGTTAACCGATTTCAATAATTGTTTTTTTTTTTTGTTATAGGAAAGGTGTTACCTAACAGGTGGTCCCATATTAATTTGGTTTTAATCCGATTATTGGATCATGAAGAAATTAACGATACTCTTAAATTTTTATATGAGAATTGAAGTCAGTTTTTTTTTTTGCTTAAAAATTACTTGTTTGTTCCCAAGTTCATTGACTCCGTCCGCGTACTTACTCACCAGATCTCAGTTCGTACCGCCCTAATGCCAGTAAATTAAAGCTCGTTACAAATCATTAAACTTTTGCTAAGGAAGTGTTTCGATTCGAAAGCAATTGTTATGTTATTTGCTATTTGTCGTCATATCTTCAGCATTTACGGTTGGATCTTAAAGTAATATACATATGGATGTTTTTGTCTCGAGAAAAAAATTGTCCTGTTCAAAAGTTCATTGACCTTAAGTAGCGCGTTCTGGTACTTACCCACCAGATCTCAGTTGTTATCACAGTAACGTGCCACCCTAATTGCAGTCACTTAAAGCTCACCAAAATTATCAAACTTTCGCTAACAAAGTATTTGGATTATTCCAGTAGAACTATTCTATAAATTTTTTTTTTTACCTGAATAAAAATTATTATATCGCAATGTATTTTATTGTTCTTAACTTAATAAAATAATAAAAACAGAGACTTAGAATTCCGAAGCATTTTTTTTTATTATTTATAAACAGAAATAACAGAAAAATAAGCCATAATGGCCAAGTGTCTCTTCATATATTCGAAACGAAGTCAATCCAACTGTTGCCCAATCGGACTGTTACGTATAACATACACCGCAGACCGGGAGTGTAATCTATGCGAAGTAAATATAAAGGAGATATCGAAGCTTTTCATGAAACGAAAAATTCTATATTAAAATCTAAACTCAGCCGACAACCTTAATGGGCAATCCAGAATGCGTTGTGGTAGTAGTACACTACCGTGGTGGTAGTACCGGCGTAAATACTTATGCATAGTTGATAGCTTGCTGAGCAACAATTCTACACAAATTGACTTTCAGAATATATTTTGTGCTCACGCTGAGCACAACTGAAATAAAGAGTGCGGCCGGTCAAAAATAAAATATACTACATATACATAAATATTTTATGGTACTTTTTTTCAACAATCTGTTTGTGAAATCGGTTTGTGGCTTTAGTGATTGCAAATTCTTTAAGTTTGGTGCTTTTGCAAACCAAGAAATCTAAACAAAATTATCAGAGTTTTGATAGAAACTCGTACTGCCGTATACACCATTTTTAAAGTAATATAAAAGGTAGTCGTCGTTCGTTTATGTGAATATGTGTAAATACATACATATGTACATATATGTAGGAGCATTTGTATAAAAAGTGATAATAATATTAGCAGCTTTGAGCAGCTTATTCTCTAAGAGCCGTTGGCTATCCACTTTGCCTGTGACATTCCATAGCGAAAAAGGTCAATTACCTTGGGACTGTGTGCTCTGAATGTGCTTGCAAAATTTTTTTATGACGTACATATTTAAATACCTATATACATATATATGTATGTATGTACTCCCATGTACATACATACAGTTGCGGTCAAAATAATTGAATCGAAATGCAGGACAGTGGCTTTGTTTCTTTTCTTTTCTAGCAGATAATTATCAGGAATAAGAAGAGTGGGAAAATTGGGGGAATTACGCTCACGGAGAGCGAAATAAAGAAATAGTAAAGCAATGCAAAACTAGCAAGTAAACAGCTGATCGGTGTATTTGACTATTGAAAATATTTGGCGCGAATTTTCGTTTATTCATTTTGACTAGCAGCTGTAAGAATTTTACTAGCATAAATTAGCAGGGGCTCTATTCTGTAACTGTGAGTTTTCAAGTGTACACTGAAAATTGTGTGCCCTCTTCATTTTGTGATTCAGGAAGAGTGAGAATGAGTTTTAGCTGTCAAAATTGTGTACACTTCCTCATTTCGCG